AAGGTCAAATCATCGTTCTCCGAAGGTCCGAGGCATGTTCTCTTCCAGCTTGAGCTCCTGAGGAGTCAGCCAAGGAAGGTTGTTCAGATTGTGGAGCAGACTGTGAGGAGATCTTCCTGGTATGCTCATCCCGAGGCAGTTCTGCAGACAATGCTCTGCAGTAAGGATGAGGAGGAGAGAAGAGTGGCAGTCAAAAAGATCTTGGATATGAGACTTATGAGAGGATCTGGGCATGGCGAATCAGTTGGTGACGATTCCTTCAGGGTCAGGAAGACTCCTGAATTCAATCTAGGTGCCAAGACCTCACTGATCTCATAGATCTGGATAACATCCAGGCTGGCAGTGAGCCCCCTCTTACCTGCAGCCTCACCAATGTTCAAGTCAGAGCTTTCCTGGACAACCCCATGCATGTCCCTGCCTGGCCCTCGCACACCCAGAGTATAGAGCATTGTGTACAGCAAGTGAGCGAGGCCAGCAGTCACATGTACAGCCAGGAGAGGAGGGAAGGCTACATCCGAGCTCAGGTGGTCAGCAGGGAGGTGATGAGTAGAAACAGAAGCAAGAAAGACATGTTCTCTATGGTGTACCCCTTATACCCGAATTAAGTAATAGTAAAACCCGGTTTTGTATTTGATGATTTTTTGTTTCCTAAAAAGATATTAAATTTAATAAATGTGTCAAGATCTGTTAGTTTCACTATTCTGGATCATTTTCATCCTAATAAATTAACCTGATACATTACTTTACTTTAAATAAGCTATTTAGTGGTGTTGAGCGAGGTGGAATGCTAAATTTTCATAAGATTTCAAGTTAAAATTTACCTAGCCAAAAAAATAAAACTTTTCAAATCTGAAGATATCACATGATTCTGCACATAGAACTACATCATTAATACCATGGGCCGATTTTTCAAACTCAAAAAAAAAAATTCGCCTCCGTATGACACACCCTACTAGTACAGTACTATATGTTCACTATAACACTAGTACTACATGTTCACTATAACACTAGTACTACATGTTCACTATAACACTAGTACTACATGTTTACTATAACACTAGTACTACATGTTCACTATAACACTAGTACTACATGTTTACTATAACACTAGTACTACATGTTTACTATAAGACTAGCACTATCCGTTCACTATAGCACTAGTACTACATGTTCACTATAACACTATGCTGCATGTTCACTATAACACTAGTGCTGCATGTTCACTATAACACTAGTACTACATGTTTACTATAAGACTAGCACTATACGTTCACTATAACACTAGTACTACATGTTCACTATAACACTAGTGCTGCATGTTCACTATAACACTAGTACTACATGTTCACTATAACACTAGTACTACATGTTCACTATAACACTAGTACTACATGTTCACTATAAGACTAGTACTACATGTTCACTATAACACTAGTACTACATGTTCACTATAAGACTAGTACTACATGTTCACTATAACACTAGTACTACATGTTCACTATAACACTAGTACTACATGTTTACTATAAGACTAGCACTATACGTTCACTATAACACTAGTACTACATGTTCACTGTAACACTAGTGCTACATGTTCACTATAACACTAGTACTACATGTTCACTATAACACTAGTATTACATGTTTACTATAACACTAGTATTACATGTTTACTATAAGACTAGTACAGTACTATATGTTCACTATAACACTAGTACTACATGTTCACTATAACACTAGTACTATATGTTCACTATAACACTAGTACTACATGTTCACTATAACACTAGTACTACATGTTCACTATAAGACTAGTACAGTACTATATGTTCACTATAACACTAGTACTACATGTTCACTATAACACTAGTACTATATGTTCACTATAACACTAGTACTACATGTTCACTATAACACTAGTATTACATGTTTACTATAAGACTAGTACAGTACTATATGTTCACTATAACACTAGTACTACATGTTCACTATAACACTAGTACTATATGTTCACTATAACACTAGTACTACATGTTCACTATAACACTAGTATTACATGTTTACTATAAGACTAGTACAGTACTATATGTTCACTATAACACTAGTACTACATGTTCACTATAACACTAGTACTATATGTTCACTATAACACTAGTACTACATGTTCACTATAACACTTGTACCATATGTTCTCTACAACATTTGTACTACATGTTCATTATAACACTAGTAGCACATATTCAGTATAACACTATAGAATTACATGTTAACTATAACACTAGTAATATACACCAACGTAATGAAGATGGTGGTACTTAAGCCCACATTCCAATCTGACATCAACAACATACCCAAAAAAGAAAAAAAACATACACAATCAAACCAATAATAAACATTAAATTATATATAAAATAAATACATGGATTCGAGCCAATAAACCTAAACTAGTTGCAAGGTCGATGGTGTTGGGGATGACGGGGGGCAGTACAGAGAGAAGGGCCCCCTACCTCTTTCACTCGCCACTGTCCTCTACGGCAGGGACGACAAGCGTGAGGTGAAAAGCAGTTATGAAATTGCTCTAATCTGCAGTGGTATTGAGATACACGGGGATTGGATGGATGCAGTATTCTTCCTGACACCTGAGCTGGAGGAGATGATCTTGAAGCACCGCACCGGGAGGACTGATAACAGTGTCACGAAGAGACAGAAGCTGAACGCGATGAAGAAAGAGGCAGAGAGGGAGGTCACTTCTCAACATACCAAGAAAACTTATGAGGATGTAAAGGAGAAGAACGAGAAAATGGAACAAGAGGAAGAGAGTGTTGATGATTATTATGAAGACGAAGATATAGTAACGTAACCAGTGATAAGGGGACATGAGGCATTTAAACGGCGCATCAGAGAGAAAAAAGGCTACAACAACAAAGACTAGGACTGGGACAAGTACTTCCGTGCCAATGAGAAGTACTACTTTTCATACGAAAGATGCAATGCGAGACTGAAAGCTCTCGCATGTTGTCCTGCATTTAACCAAGACACACCAACCGTAGACTTGAATAAACTACCATTCAAACGCAATGTTCAGGAAATATTCGACAAAGAGGAAAGGGTCACTAAGCGCCACAATCACAGTTGAGACACTTAGTCGTTAACCCTTCTAACACCTTTTGCCCGGAGTTTTAATCACCCTTCTCCGTTGACGAGGATTGTTGTGTTAAAACCAGTTTCAAATTTTTTTAGTCACAAAGGACACTGCACTGCAGTGCTTGACAAGAGGTGTGCCGGTAAAATTAACTTATAATATTGGAATTAGTTCATTTTACCGCCACACTTCCCTGCCAAGCGCTACAGTGCTGTGTCCTTCGTGACACTATTTTGTTTTTTTAAACTCTGGTTGTAAACACGACGACCCCCGTCAACGAAAGATGATTAAAACCCCAGGCGTTTGTGTCTCTGCTGTGTCTCTCACTTTTTCTATAATCTATATTACATGATCCATAGATACACATTACTCAATACAACTACTACTTATTTTCAGGTGATCAGTTGAGTCAACTAGATGTTGGGTTTATAACATGTTCTACCGTGAAAGATTCAGTACAAGACGTAATGCACCAATGGACACTTGTCGCATACGAGTATTGTACAGTACACAACTGTACGATATGAAATTCATTATAACCCAAAGTCACATTGCTGTCATCTGAACCTACATTAAAGTGTACATTTAAATTTTTTAACTGGGTCATAATTCACCACACAATATGGTAAGTAAAGAGGTAATATCCCTTCACCTCAGAATATTATTTTGAAACATTGTTGGTTTCAAATAGCTTAGACGAAAGTAATGTCACCTTCAGTAATAACGATTTTCATATACAGTACTGTACAGTATGTGACAAGTGGCAGTTGGTGTATTTAACCCTTTGAGCACTGAAGGGGTTAAGTCATTGTATTCAGGGGTTAGGTCATTGTATTCAGGGGGTTAGGTCATTGTATTCAGGGGGTTAGGTCATTGTATTCAGGGGGTTAGGTCATTGTATTCAGGGGGTTAGGTCATTGTATTCAGGGGGTTAAGTCTTACCAAGTGTTAAGTTATCGTATTCTAGGTGTTAAGTCATTGTATTCAAGGGGTTGAGTCAAAGTATTCAGGGGATTAGGTCATTGTATTTAGGGGGTTAAGTCTTGTACCGAGAGTGTTAAGTCATCGTATTGAAAGGGTTAAGTCAACTTTTAACACACAAAAAATCCAGGAAAGACGAAGCAAATCTTATAAAATTTATTCACCAGACTTACTGAAAAAATGCATAATCATTATTACCTCAAGTGGAAGATGCAATAAAAATCTTCCTGGAGGGGACACAAGACGTCCTACCACCACAGGACGCCAATACAGGAGGCATTTCTTACCAAAAAGTGTGTACTGGTCGATGCCGGCTCCCTCAGGATCCTTCCAGCCCTGGCAAGTGACGGCGAAGGTGTCAACCATGGCACGTCCCCAAGGCGGCATCACTGTGCAGTTCCCCCCAGCAGGAGGTTTGTTCAGCACCAAAGTCATCACGTACTCTCCTACAGCCCCCGTCAGGAGAGCAAAGGGTAATGTGTGTTTTAGTAGGACTGACTTTGAGAGATACAATGACATAAACCTCACCACCTACAAGTATCAGTGAAACTTCTATATAACGGACTTCTCTCTCCATACAATCCATGAGATAGGAGTTTCACATCTAAAAGACCCTCGATATAACACTTTCATCCCCATATATAGTTCGTTAGATAAAGGTTTCACATCTAAAGGATGTCTGTTAAATAGAGGTCTCATTGTACTATAATCTACTGTATACTATATCCACATTTTCATCTACACTATATCCACTACACTATTATCTACACTATGTCCACTACACCACTACACTATCACCTACACTATATCCACAACATTTTCCTCGACACAGCCCCTACACACTGTAAACTGGATGGCCTTCATTATTTATTTTTATTTTTTTTACATTAGGAGTTATGATCCTCAAAGTCCTCATTAAACACTGAACCCAAGATATGATTGTGGTTAGTGTGGGCTAACCTCTGACCCCTAGTAAACATGGTGTGACCTTACCTCTAGTCCCAGTAGGCGTGGTGACCTCGAGGGTAAGCTTAAATTCGTTCTGGTCAGGGTTGAGGAGGAAAAGTTCACTGCTGATGGCAATGTCTCTCGCAGCTTTCCCAGTTCGCACCACTGTCAAGGTTTTATCAAGGTGACAGCATAGTACACAGGTGAGACGGAAATAAACCTATATCACTTTTGGTTTGCTTCATAAGGTAAATTCTCACGTATTTTCCTTTACAAAAGCAACAGAACTATATCAATTAAAATGACTGTAATATCGACTATAGCTTAGACCATCATCATTAAGGGGTTAAATAATTTTCGCCAGAGGGTAAAATTGTCGTCTTCAAAGGGTTAAATCATCATCATCAAAGGGCTAAATTATAGTCATCAAAGGGTAAATTATAGTCATCAAAGGGTTATGGTAGAAATAATGTCCAGGAAGCTTCTATGATTAACCCTTTCACCGCGTGTCACGCACTTGCCATTTTATTCTGGCTACCGCCAGACGATTTTATTCAGCTTTGGGTAACCTCCCGCTGTGAAAGGGTTAAGCAGATCAATCCTTAGTACTCTGGGATGATTTTACGTTGAGTAAAAAAAAAACAAGGAAAGTACTACAGTCGTTGAGATATCTTCAAGACCTATAAGCTGTAATGGTCTACAAACATTTATTCTTGTAATACAGTCAGTGTCTACCTAAGGCACATGATGTGTTCCTGAAAACCTCTATGTTTAATTGATGTATGTTAAGCAGATTTACTTTAACCTGATGTACATTAAGCAGACACAGTGTTATTGATGAGGTGGTGGTGTATCTAGATGGGTCACTGTTGTGAATGAGGAATTACGAAAAATATTTTAGCATTTGCTTATGTATTTACAACTCTTAATGTAGAGTGTAGATTAATATGAAAACCCGAAACTCAAAATTTAAGTCACAAAATAACTGAAGAACCTTACGTGGTGGACAAGGATCAGGGGATAAGGAAGCTTCACCCTCGTTAACCTCCTCCCGAGTCGTCTGGTCGGATGTTGTGGGCTGTGGGCAGGTCCTCTCCTCGACGACAGGTTGACCAGAAGCAGTGGTGATGGACCAGGTGTAGGTCATGTGGTCGTGACAGCTGGAGGTGCACATACTCTCCAGGGCAACGCGGGAGGATGGATTAATTAGAAGACCGGAGAACACTGGATGACACAGTTTGGCATCCGCACACCTGAAGAATGCCATGAACATACAAAGTTTCTAACAGATTTGATAATGAGGCAAATTACTACCACAAAAGAGATCATATAATATGTCTATGGTTTTGGGTAGATCTGAGTAACTGTGTTGATGATTGACTGTGAGAGATGAAGTGATGGTGATGGCAGGTTTTTGAGTGTCAGAAACAACATTTTCACAAAGAGGAAACATTAGGTGAACGTTCTTGTTAGGTTAAGCTAGGTTGGGTTAAGTTAGTCTATGTCAGGCTAAGTTAGGTTAGGTGATTGAACTTCTCCAGAGCAATATCTAAGGTTATCTGTCTCAAATTTTATCTAAATTTCTTAATTTAGGAAAAAAAAGTCAAGCAATTGAAAGCGATGTGTCAACCCGATCATATTAAAAAATATATGTTGTTCATTTATCCTTCCTTAGAACAGTCAGGGAAAGGTGTTTCTACACCTCCTGTGATGTTCCCAGTCAAGATGTGGCAGCAGGGTCACAGTAATAGAGCAGAGTGGGGAGGGACTCGACTTTTGTCTCATGGATCGCGCTTCGAGTCATCCCTTGCAGTCGTATATGGATATGGATTCATGTATGATATATATCTTGACTGGGGATATCACAGGAGGTATAGACACACACCTTTGCCTGAATGTACCACTATTGTAGGAGCTGTCAGCAAGGTACTGTACTCACATGATGTCGATGACTGGTTGTGCGACAGACATCACCTCGACCAGCACCTTGGCGAGAGCGTAGCGGGTGTCCTTCTCCACCATGACCATCACCTCGTATGTCACCTCCACCTCCACTAAGGACAACATCACCAATAGCAACTGTCCCTGGTGATACTCCAGCGCCCCTGGGGGAGTGAATGATCGGCGGGGTGGTGAGAAAGGAGGGTGGGGGATGATAAGAGGATGAGGGTTGATGAGAGGGAGGGGTGAGGGATGATGAGAGGGTGAGGTAATGAGAGGGAGAGGTGAGGAATGATGAGAAAGAAGAGTGAAGGGTGATGAGAGGGAAGGGTGAGGGATGATGAGAGGGTGAGGTAATTGAGAAGGAGAGGTGAGGAATGATGAGAAAGATGAGTGAAGGGTAATGAGAGGGAGGGGTGAGGGATGATGAGAGGGAAGGGTGAGGGATGATGAGAGGGTGAGGTAATTGAGAAGGAGAGGTGAGGAATGATGAGAAAGAAGAGTGAAGGGTGATGAGAGGGAGGGGTGAGGGATGATGAGAGGGAAGGGTGAGGGATGATGAGAGGGTGAGGTAATTGAGAAGGAGAGGTGAGGAATGATGAGAAAGAAGAGTGAAGGGTGATGAGAGGGCGAGATGAAACAAGATATAAACCTACATTACTTAGACAAGCGCCCTTGTACTATGGTCCAGTAACCAGCATCCATTACCCGATCAATAAGAAGACACTTACCTGGACCATAGCCGAAGCAGCCACCAGCAGACCCACGGAAGGTGGTGATGGGGGTGGGGATGGACTGGGTGTTGTAGCGGTAGAGGCGGCCTTCCTGGTCCATCGGATGCTCTGGGTCACGCTCCACCCGCCGGCAGAACCATGTGTAAGTGAAGTTCTGTCGAGGGAAGAGTGTGTTATAGAGAGACTGTTATAGAGACTGTTATAGAGAGACTGTTATAGGGAGTGTGTTATAGAGACTGTTATAGGGAGTGTGTTATAGACTGCTATAGAGAGAGTGTGTTATAGAGACTGTTATAGGGAGTGTGTTTTATAGAGGGGCAGTGATATAGGGAGATGGAGTAGCTCAAGCCTCCAAGGGACTGAACAATACAAAAACATTCTCTCAAAACCGCTGTGAGATGACCTACCTTGTCCTGGGAGTCAATCAATCAACAGTGACCACAGAACTTGAAGCTTCCACGAATAAGAAATAATAATAATAAAAAAAGGGCGGGATATAAGGTGTGTTTCTCCATGGATAAACAAAAACAACAAATTTAACATTATATTACTATAAAACTTCACTTACAAATAGTTACATCAAATTTAAATCGATTGATGTGTAACACAAATAAGTAACTCTCACGTGACCACTATCATGATTAAAATACTCCTTGGTCCAGTAGTTAAGAGCTGTGTACCGGCGACACCCCATGATACAGCCCTCCGCCAGGCCACAACACTGGTCACTTCTGTTACACCACACTCCTTAACTGTAAACAACACTCAACCCTATTTAATACCAAACAATCAGTCATCATGACCTTTGAATGCATATTAATACACTATGATTGAATTGCCTATACCATACTGGAGACATACCTATTATCTGACCACACAAAACACAGCGAGAACACTCTCCCTCCACACTCTACCACCGAGGGCTGCTGCGTGAGGGGGGGCTCTCATCTAAATTGTGTGAACAACTCGGACCCAAACGAACACCAACAAAACCCAAGTGAAACACTACCAAACCAATGAAGCCTCAAAGCTGCTACTCGTCGTGACACCTACTTTGTCCTGGAGTCAAACAACAGTGACCTACCTTGTCGTCTGGCCAATCAGGATCTTCAGAGTACTTGTGAGGGTCTAGCAGTAGCGTGGACCCAGAACCTCGGCTGACCTTGGACATTCCACCTTTGATGATGAATGCGTGTAGGGGGCTTTTGTCGACCTGAGAGAGAGAGAGAGAGAGAGAGAGAGGTTATGGTGATCGTAAAACAATCTTTAAAGTTCATCTGTACTAAATGCCATGTTAATAGAATCTGTCCTGCATCCCATGATGTCTCTAGCCTTTATAATCTTGTGTTTACTAATATCTTCTAAGGAACTGATGATGGCAATGGAAACCAGATCATCTCTTACTGTCACATTGTGTAAGATATTTTGGAGAAAGCAGATTAGATTAGGTTTGTTAAGTAAGATTAGGTTAGGTTAGGTTAAGGTTTGGTTAGGTTAGATTTCTTAGGATTTACTAGGTATGTACAGGAATTTATGTTACAGTAATTTCTTCTCTTATGTGTTTAAATAACCCCAATGCTGATCTTTCATACACATGGATCTGATTTCTGCTCATGCCATATTTTTTTTCAAATTATAAATACAAGGTCATTCTTTTATTCTTAACCCTAAATTATTACTATATTTTAGGACGTGCAATAAACAGGAACTTAAAGTTTAGTAGGAATAAAGTCTGATCATTGTTGGTGTAAACACCGAAAAAGTATCTTAACGGAGGGTCCCGATAAATTTCAAAATGAACACTGCACCTCGTGAAGATACTCTTTGGAGCGAGTGTTTACCTTGACCTAGGTGTTGGTGGTCCTGAAAAGCGGGAAAACTTTGGAAGCGAGGAGCTGCAGGCGGTAGGTGATGAGGTAGGTGCCGTAGTGAAGGAACCTGGCAGGTATGGATAGCTGTGAGAAATTCCAGGAGGGTAGGATCTCTTCCACCAAGATGTCTTCTACTGAAACTCCTTCCTCCTCCTCCACCCGGGATACACTCCATGATTTCCTGAAGACGATGGGAGGGGGGAGAGAGAAAAGTTATTCATGAGGCATTCCTAAAGTCATTCATTCATTCATTCCCTTCTCCTTGTTACACATTTCATTGTCACATTTCCATTTCCCATTGCAGATCCCCCCCTCCCCCCATACCTGGACCTGGACCCCAAGCACCTTTCACTTCTCACTTCTGTATATATATATATATATATATATATATATATATATATATATATATATATATATATATATATATATATATATATATATATATATATATATATATATATACCAGCCTATAATCTACTACATTATTTACTTATTCTCTCATACATGCTCACTACCTCTCCCATACATTGTCACTCTGTCATACTTTGTCATTCCCTCCATCATACATTCTCACTCTTATTCATTCTCACTCTTATTCATTCTCACTCTCTTATACAATCTCTCTCTTCCATACGCTCTCAGTATCTCTCCCATACATTCAGTCGGTGTCAACAAGGCACAACGTGCACGCGCGCGCGCACGCACACACACACACACACACACACACACACACACACACAGAGCCCAGTCCCAACCATTGTAAAAATTATTAATAACTTGTAATCAACCAGTGTATTCACTCCCAGTCAATCTTACTTTTTGCACTGTCACTATGTTGAAATGCCCTGTAGTTTGAGCTTCTCCCCACCGAGTTACTGTATTATATATCGTATTTGTATCACTTACGTTACTTGTATATTTTTTGTCAATCAAGTGACCCATTCCCCAATTATGGAACTGTATATTTTCATCCTTCCGGCTGCCATGCTCTTTCAATAAACCGTTAATTATTATTATTATTATTTTTACACACACACACACACACACACACACCTCGTGGCGACAGTCCCGTTACAGTCTACAATGGCCTCAGACTCGATCCTGAAGGTTCTGGAGCGCCAGACTGAGGGGGCGCCTTTGTGAACGGTGTGGCTATTGGGAATCCAGACGATGGGAGCTTTACAATGGATGTAAGCTACCACCACCGGTAGGAGGGTCCTCAGGGTGGTCATCAGGTCTACCACCACCACCGACACGTTGTACAAGTCCTCTTGCCTGACAGAGTGACACAACAGTCATAGATCAAGGTAGAGCAGAGGTGGGCAAAGTAAGGCCCGCGGGCCACATTTGGCCCGCCAAATTATTTCTGTGGCCCGCCACTGCATTTGGCAATCAGAAAAACAAATTCTTATTAATTACAGAAAGGAAAATTTTGGAATTTGGGTGGACATAGCAGCAATACACATTAAGTGTGTGGCCCGCGAAGTGTGCCACCATTCATGAAGTGGCCCTCCATCAAAAATAATTGGCCACCCCTGAGGTAGAGGGAAAGACAGGGAATGAGCCAGGGTGCATATATGCAATTTATACAAGTTTTAGGGCATTATTGTCAAGACCTGGAACATATGAGAGAACTCTATCAAACAAGAGAAGAGAATGGAAGGAAAGACAAGGATAGAAAGATGTGACTAAGAAAAAGAACCTGGAACTGAGGTGTGGCAGGTAACGCCAGCTTACAGGAATACGTGGGTAAGGGTTGTGGGATTTGTGAGATGACCACTGACGAAGGGGACAGAGGGGAACTTGATAGCACAGAGGGAAGGTTCTCCGTGGGCTTCCAAAGGTGAATCATCATTGAAGTCGACGACGAGACAAGTCACTGGATGCAACACCTGGAACGATGCACTGAACACCTTCGTCTCATTCTGTAGATAAACAACACTTTAGGTCCTGTTTTGTTGTGTAAAATTCAAGATGAATTTCAGTATATTAAAATATGATACTCGCAGCTCAGACTTTTAAAAGACTGCAAAACATTCTCAGTACGTCTTAGTGAGAGTAAATGGACCCTCCACATTCAGAGAATCATAGGACAGGTGGAGCTATATACAGCGCTACTGGAGTCCTGAACTACTCGCGGATAAGGTCCTAAAAAGTGCAGCAGTTATCAGTTACACTACAACCTGAGATCTGGACTCCCAGGAAAATAAATAAATCAAATTATCCGTTTAGCAGGGAGGGGTTTCTCTAGGCTGAATAAAACCGTCTGGCATTAGCGAGAATAAAATACCTAGCATTAGCCAGAATTTCGTCTTATTAACTCTCCTCCTTTAGTTGACTATCTTTCTTCCCTTTCTCTTCGCCGCAATGTTGCTTCACTCTCTCTCTTTTACAGGTACTTTAACGGGCAATGCTCGGTGGATTTGGCATCCTGTGTACCGCCGGCAAGGCCGTGGGCTCGTAACACTCGTCTTGCCCGCGGTGGCCACCGTTTCTCTGTGGATGTCGGTCACACTAGAATAACCCGTTATAGTACATCCTTTTTTCCTCACACAGCCAAACTGTGAAATGCTCTGCCTTCTTCTGTGTTTCCACACTTAAACAATCTCTCACTTTAAAAAGCTGGTTTTCCGGCATCTTCGTGGTGTAGATTAACGCAGTCTAACCTTTTTCTTCTTTATTTCTAATTTCTTTCTGTTCATATTTTTCCGCCCCCTAGGCCCCGTTGTGGGTCGTTCGACCTGTGCCCGGGTCGGCTAATTCCCATATAAAAAAAAAGCCTGGCGTTGGCCAGAATAAAACACCTGGCATTATCCAGTATAAAAATGCCAGGCGTTAGCCAGAATAAAATGCCTAAGAGTGGGGCATCAGAATTGTGTTGTCACATATCACATCAGTCCAACACCTAACCAGATTATACCATGACCCAAAATAGCATAATGTATCCAAGAAAACCAATGATTTATGACTTACAGTATGAATGTTTAAGACTGCTGACTTACAGTAGGAACATTTAATAACTTCGGACTTACGGTAGGAGTGATGATATTAAAATCGGTAACCAGACGACCTTGTATCGTGTTGAGGACTTGGAAGGTGATGTTGTCTTGCCCAGGCACCCAGCTCTCAGCCACCGAGAACGCTGCTACACACACAGTCTTATCCCCCTCCTGAGAAACATAATGTGTTTAGTGTTGATATTCATGTTTGAATGTATTGAACTTGAACAATAAAGACCTCTAAGTGCATAGTATAGTTTAGTACATACAACAGGCACCAAAAAATATTGAAAAATAGATCTCTCTCGATGATGCAGAGCTCAATAATTACTCTAGGCTCTAGAGGGGAGGTCATGTCCATTATTTATGTACGACTTTACCCATTATTTTCTTGATGTATATACCAAGACCTTCGACAAAATTCTGGGAGTTTAGCTCAGATCCAGTGTGGTTACCCTACAGCTCCTCCCAAAAATTTTCCGTTACCCCTATACAGTACTGTATTAGCACATGTATGTAAATATTCAAATATGCATTATAACCTCTGGAAATATGACCTTTTGTGATCAGTGGTCATTTAAATCTCATAAATCCAAGAGGGCCACCAAACTCACCGTGAAATAGGAATTTTAACAAAATATCGCAGGTTTTCCTCAAATAATGTTGATATCGGTGTCATTTTGTTACTTTTTGACGCGGCTGTGGCATGAAGTGATGATAAATGAGAAAAAGTAACAGAAGACAATAGAAAAAAGACAATAGATATATTAAAAACATACATTTAGGAACTTTAGACTTCTGTGATCTTCCTTCTGGGAAGCAGAATTTTTAGCACCGACGTCAACACCACGTCACTTGACAAAGCCCCTTTAGCCACATCATCATTCCTTTGGGCTGTTCCTGAAACGAAAGTTGGTCGACGCCAAGGTCGATCATCACCCAATTGTCTACGGGTGGTGTTGACGTGGTGGTGCACAGACTCGATAGGTTCGGGTCTTCTGATATTTTCCTGGATAGGATTGAGGTCGATGGGTGTATCACCTTTTTCATCCTCAGCATCTTTTGTAGAAGACTACCCTCACCACCCACTAATGGCTATCTTTGCGGCGGCGTCGCCCTGGGTGACACAGTAAAAACAACACAAACAACAAGAATTTTAAACCACAGAAGATGCGTATTGCAAATAATATCCCATTACCCATATGCTGATTACTTCCGTCACTAAAGTGAGGGCACAAGATATTGATTTTAGCAGCTTTCTATTTTGCTCGACATTATACTTCTCCCCAAAATTCGAGGCG